AAGCACATGCAAGCAGGCTCAGAGGCCGGGGGTTCAATCCCTGGAGCCTGCTATGCCAGCCCCGCCCCCGGGGCACTCTGAGACATTGAGACTGAATGTGGTGTCAGGCGCCTGTAATCCCAGTACTTGAGAGACTGTAAACAGAAAAATAGAGTCTGATCTAGAAGAAAGATCTTTAGACTTTTCCCTAAAATACAGGAAAAAATAAAATAAAATAAAAATAAAGCCAAATTGAAGTAACCAGAGCAGAAGTGATTAAGGAAGTTAGCCCAAGCACTGTATGCAGAATACACTTATTCTGAAAATTCCAAAAGCGAAAGGGCACGAAGAAGTCAGGAAATTCAGCTCAAGTTTCCTCCAGTGACTTAGGTGTCACTTGGAAAGTGACATCTGTGTTCTGCCTTAATTTCTAAGCTTTTCCTGGTAGTCAGATGGCTTCCAGGCAGCCTCTTTTAATGGGGATGGCTTTTCCCGCGGCATTCCTTATCTCCCAGAGAAGACAGGAAAACAGAGGGGGGGATGCAGCTACAAGATGTCACCCTCTTATGTGCATTACCTGGTCCTCAACTAGGTTGTCAGACCTAGCAAGTAATCATAATGCAGACTACCCAGTTAAATTTGAATTTCAGATAGAAAAAATAATATTTTGTGTAAGTACATTCCAAATATTGCTTAAGGCAGAGTTATACTAAAATTCACCTTTAATGTGGCACTCAGCATTTTATCTGGCAATCTTACCCCCACTTCCTACTCAAAATCAGTTCAGAACAAGCTGTGGGTATGGGGAGGCAATGCATTCATAGCTAGGAGATGAAATGCACACGCGTGGTGCTTCCTTTTGTGCCTGGCATCTTCTTGCACATCATAGGGAGACCACATCTCATCTCTCATTAGGGTTAAAAAAAAAATGATTCCAAATCTTAACCTACAGCAGACTGGAGATGCACAAAGTCCAACACTTTCCCTGCTGTTTTTCATCTCTGCTGACACTCTGCCTACTAAGCTTTCTGTTGACAGAAGAGTTGGTTCTTTGGAGCGTGAAAGGCTCCTTTGAGTCTGACAGACTCCTGACTCCTTCTTTGGCACTTTGGGCTTCTCTTGGAACTAAGGCATCTGGACACATCTACTTAGGCCTTTGTAGTTATTCCACCAGGAAACTATAACAGAAGACCCTTGAGATGTAGCAAACACTGAACCATCACTCTAATCTGCTTCCAGGACAGTGGGATGCTAAATGTTCCAAAAGGAGAAGTCATCACTTCATCCTTCATGTTGCCCAACCTGGGAGACAGAAAAGGCCCAGGAAACTTGCTCTGAGAGTCTCTGACATCATCTTTATTTTCCACCCATAGAAAAATAATTTGGGGGCAGAGAGAGTTTTAGACACCTACCCTCATCCTCTGACCCCTAAAAACAAACAAACAAAAAAACCATAACATATACTTAAAAAAGAGATTTGAAGTATCATTCAGCAATTCTTTCAGTCCAAATGTCCCCTGCAAGCCACTTTGAGAGAGAAATTCTAAAGTTACTTCCTCCCTTACATACTGATAAACCTCTGTGCAGAAATCTGCTTGATAATAAAGGAGAACTGTTTTTATCCTGGCCTTCATAAAAGCAATGCTCAACAGGCAGCAGTCATTCTTACCTCTCCTAAACTTTCATGCTACCTTCCTCTCCCCTAGAAAAATCTCTCTTGCTTGATAAGAAATCTCAATCTTGGCTCCCCGGGGTATCACTTCCTTCTGAATTATGCTTAAAAGAAAAAAAAATGAATGTCCTTTTGTACCCTGGAAAGCAACTGCAGCCCCTATAATTCTTCCCCCTGCACTTATGTAATTTATACATAGGCTTTTAGTGAAATACATCCTCTACAAATTTGCTTTGTGTTTGGAAGACAGCTTCCTCCGCTCTGACCTTGCTTCTTATAAATAGGGGAACTGAATGGCCCACCAATGAGGGAACAAATCACTTTATCTTCTGGATAAAGGACTTCCTTATTCACAAGTGATAAAAATGACTTTTCCTTTGGAAAATCAGCTGCAGAGTAGTTGCTTTACATCACTTTTCAATTGACTAGTTTTTTTCTTTAGTTTTCCTCTGGAAGGGGCCAACTCTCTTCCACATTCTGTTGGGTAGCAACAAAAATGTTTACAATAGCAGTCTGCTTCCAGCAGGCAATTCTATCTTAAATTTCTTTAGCATACAGCCAAGCCAGGGGAACCTGGAGGGCCAAAAAAAACTGAATGGGAAAACACTAAGAACAACAACAACAAATACCAGGTTACAGTGCCCCTTGAGACATAGAATCATGTGCTTACTTTATAACCAATAAGTAGGGTTGGTGGGAGAGACTTTTGTGCTGGGCTAAGAGCACATCTTTCAAGGAAAACAGCAACAAAGGACATTGCAGCTGGTCACCACTCCAGCTCACACATCTCATTCACCACTCAGACACTCCTGATAAGTTCATGATTTCCTTCGCTGTTCAAGGAGGAGGTGGAGTGTGGGTGACTAAGGGCCTTGTGCAACATCACACAGGAAGAAAATGGCCAAAGGCGGATTCGTGTCCATAGCACTAAGTGCTGCTCTTAGCTTGCTTTCTTGTTAGCTCTCAAAGAACTTCCTTCTTCTGAAAAAAGCCTGTGGCCTCCCACATAAATTTCTTACTGGAGAACAGCAACTGAGTTCAATGCCCATTCTTGCTAATATAGCTCTTAAAATAGCTATCATTTACCCTGTCCATAAGCAGTGGCTTTCAGAATGTGTACTACATTCAGTCCCTACGCAGAGACTCAGGCTCACACCATCCTTGCTTGAATGACTTTCTCCATGAGGCAGGCTCTGAAGCAAGGATTCTACTCCTTAACCGATATGGAATGATAAAACAGCGATGGCCGTCATTTATCAAATGGTTTTCAGGCACCAGGAGCCATCCTAAACACTTCACAAATAGTGTCTCATTTAATCCTCAAAACAGTTCCATCACTGTTTTGATCAGTCTTCTGATCATAATTGGAGACTATGATCTCTCATGTGGTTTACTGTGCCTGCTGATTCTTTCCTGTCCTGAGTCTCTCTTCATTCTTTCTTTTGGAAGGAAGGTGGTCAAAGACACAACTATACACAGAATTTACTTATGAAGTGAGCTCTCTTAGAGAGATAAACTGCTAGCATCTACAGGTTCCACTTGAAGAGCCTTGTGAGATGTGAACCTTATGAGAACAAGCAGGAAAAGAGGTAGAAGTTGACCAAGGAAAGGGTGTTTATAGATGAAGATTTAAGTCAAGGTAAGTAACTGGGAGCACTCTCCAAGGACAGAAGTTCACCTAAGAGAAAGAAATGTCTGGCACCACCTTTTGAGTTCTACAATAAATCATACCTAGGATCAACTTTCTGATGATGTACTCAGTCTGCATATGCCCATTTCATAGGAAATAAAACCAAAGCTTAGGAAGGTAAAGTTGTATATTCAATCACCCTCTTATGTAAGATTTGACTGTAAGGTCATGCATCATCATCCTGTTAGGAATGGCATGTCTAACTCTAGAATGAATGAACTGCAATGACAAAGAAGAGATTAAAAATTAAAAGCAGGGACAATTTCATACTGAACACTCTAGATGGTATAATCACATTGGAAGTTGTGAACATTTTCTATCTTATCTAAGTCCAGAAAGCTAATGTATATTCCAGAAATTTAGTTGAACATATATGAGCTATCCCAGGTGATAAACTAGAGCTAAGGATTGGCACAGACATTTTTAAAAGGGAAATATGTTGCAAATATAAGGAATACTAAAGATAAAGGTTGTTGTAGAATTGGCCTTCATGGAAGGTCACAAATAGGACAGTAGTCATGCCTAAGATAGAGTAGTGAGTAGAGTATCTATACTTACAGTCTTGAGAACTAAGAACAATTACTCCTTCATGCCTCTTCTTGCCTCATCATTCTTTAGGGTCAACTATGTTCTATGGGTAATATGTCAGCAGGAAATTCCAGAATCCAACAGACTTTAGTCTGAACTTATCACATGACCATTGCCCAATCATTTGAAACTATCTAGGAAGTTCTAGAGCATTCTGAGCTTTACAAGGAAAAAAAAAAAGGTAATGTCACATTAAAACGATGACAACCAAGAGAAAACTTCTTACTGATTACAAGAATTGCTAGAACTACCATATCTTTATCTAAATGTTCTCTGGGATGTCTGTGTGGAGTCTGCTCTGAGTTCCTTACACTTACTCTGACTCTTTTTCTCTAAGTCAGCCTCCTACTGCAGGAATTCAGATGAGCCCCTGATAGTTTATCAAGGTAGAAGATAAACATAGCTGGACTTCAGCAAAATCTCTGTAAAGGTTTTTTAATGGCTTTCACATTTGTTAGCTGATCTACAAAGTCCTTTGCTTGTTGTACATTAAAGTTTTAAAATAAGGGCAGTCCTAGGGACAGGATCCGATTTGTTTATTTTAAACTAAGATGCGTTTTGGCATCATTACTATTTTGGTTAATAGTAATTTCTGGTTTCCATGTTCCTATCACACCCTGTATTTCTCTGCCTCATCATTTAGCCCAGTATATCAAAATGATCTCTGCAAGGGACTCTCCCACTAGACTCTGGCCTTCCTAAGGGTAGGAACCACGTTTCGGCTATATCAGTACTGTTACCCTTTGGGGACCCATGCCAGCTCATTAGACATTAGCAATTAGTGTTGTTCAGAAGAAACGCTGTAAAGTGTGATATTTCAGGAATAAATTCTGGAGCCAAATTATCTGCAAAAACTCAAGTAAGCCCTAAGGCTTTGTCCTCTTCTGTAGAACAGGGCCGATAATGCACAGCCTGCCGGATGGTTGTTGTCAGTGGGAGATGGCATAGAGACCGGGGGTGCTTAGCCCAAGTGCCAAGACTCAGAGGAACTTGAGGCACCTGGAGACTGAAGGCCAAGCCTCCGTTTGAGTCTCAGCGCCCCTGTGGACTGGACACCAGGCACGGTCTCACCTTGTGGAACTGCGGAGGGTATATTCGGGCAGCACCGTGGTTCAGCAGCAGCTGGTAGCAGATCTCAGGCTGGGCGGCGGGTCTCACGGAGGTGACCTTGAGCACGTACTGTATGGCAGCACAGCCGTTGATGTCCATAAGGTTGGCTTCGGCGCCGGCCTCCAGCATCATGTGTATGAGCACGTGGTCACAGTTCCAGGCCGCCTTGTGCAGGGGAGACTTAAAGTCCTCGTCGCGGGCGTTGACCTCGGCCTGGTGGTCCAGCAGCATGCGGCAGACGAGGTGGTGATCCGGGCTGTACTCCTGCTCTTTAAAGCGGAGCGCCCAGTAGGTGGCGATGGCCAGCGGGGTCTCCATGTGCGCGTTCACACTGTCCACCACGGCCCCGTGCTCCACATAGAAGGCCACCAACTCCGGGAGCCCGAAGTGGGCCGCCGTGTGCAAGGGCGTCTCCTCCTCCTGATTGTTGGTCTTCATGTTCACGTTCGCGCCTATAAAGGGAAACGGAGGCAGAGGATTACTTGGCGGGTTTTCACAAGATCCACTACACAGGATTTTTCTCTTGGAACCTCTGATAGCCACACACGCACACTGTCTCCGTTCCACTTCTGGTCCTGGTAGAAGTAGCTCCTTTAAAACAACAGTGCCACCTCCTGGGACAGCCAATGATGCACCCCTGGGAGAGGAACAGAGTTCCTGGCCCAGGCTGGGGCTGCAAAAGGCCCAGTGTTTCTGTAAGTAAAAAGCTTTTATCAGTAAGACACCAAATATCACTAAAATAAAGGTTACATACACCAGAAATTTTGAGGCTCGTACAAGTGGCTTTTAAAACATCGAAGGTTTTGCGTGTTTCACAAATAGTGTTTTTCTTCCCTCTCAAAACAAGTGAAACTTTAATAGAGGGATTTGTTGTAATAGTGTTTGTAAATAGGATATCATGTCCGCATCTTGTACAGCAATTAACCACTAGGAAGAATGTGTGCATTGTGTGAATTATTGAAACTGTCCTACCAATTTGGTTTGAAACTCTCTCACTGCTATTTGTTTCTCAATAAAATTATGGGAAAAAAAAAGTGAACTGAAAGTTTAGTGGAGACAAATCTTAGCCCTGTGGAAAGGGCCTGGGTCTTTGACTGAAATCACAGAAAGAGGGCCAAGTCTGTGAAGCTTCTTTGGAATACAGCAAAACACACACACACACTCACACACACACACACATACACACACACACACACACACACACCCCACAGGCACACTCATCTTTAACCACCAACTACCCCAAAGGTCATATTTTTTTAAATAATTTTATTGAGAAACAAATAGCAATGAGACAGTTTAAAAACCCAGTACTAGAACAGTTTCAATAATTAATACATTGCATATTGTTGTCTTCTTAGTGGTTATTCATTGTATCAGATGCAGACATGATATCCTGTCCAAATACTGTTAGTACAAATCTCTCTATTCCTTGAATTAAGAGAATGCAGCTGTATATCTAGCCCATTTTGAATATACAGATACCAAAACGGTCGTTCACTCATATCCCCCTTTTTTGTTTAGTTTTGTCAGAGAATGTTATTCCATTGTCATTCAAATATCGTAGGTGCATGAATTCAGCAAAATATCCCAATATAGTCCAGTAATCCATAATAGTAGTGGGTTTTCCATAAGACTGGCAATGTCAGAAGCCTTTTATAGCTCAACATATTAATATGACTTTACTTTTTATACTTCATTTTTATACATTTCTGCTGGATGGTTAAGGCCACGATAAAGCAAGACCTATATAACAAGAAATGTAACTTTTGTATCTGATAAGGTCAGTCAAATCTCCTCAGGATTTATCCTGAGATCCTGTACCTCAGATTGCAGATCTTTCGTCAGTGTCAGCCATGTGGATGAGTCATGGCCATTGCTTGGCCAATGTGCTCTCTGTGAAAGCCTGAGAGAATGTTTTCTCTCCATGTGACTCTCCTTAGGCACACTTGACATCATCAATCACTTTCCTCTTTGGCCCCATAATCTCCTTGATCAGAAAATTTGGGACACTACCGAGTTACATGATGTTACAGTACAAGTTCTCCTCTGTCCTGAGTCTTCACTGACCCAAAGGTAATATTTTATTGAAAAAAGATAAAAGCTAATATGATAGAAATTCTCACTGACAAGAAAAGAAAAGAATTCACAAACTGTATCATGTAGGACCTACGGTTGACAAGGGATGTGCTTGAATAGCACCTCTGACATTGTTTAATCCAACCCACTCATTTAATGGACCAGGAAACTAAAGTGACTTTTTTTCTTCTTTTTTGTGGAACCAGGGATTGAACTCAGGCCCTTGTGCTTGCCAGGGAAGCACTTATTCCACTGAGTCATCTCCCCAGCCCTTAAAGTGACTTTTATTCTTCTAAAGAATTTTGAATTTAGAATGATCAACTGGAGCAGCTGAAATTTTCCTTCTCTACCTAATGTATTGAGATGAACAAAATGACCCCTAGGGGTTTGACTCTATATTCAAAGGATTTTTTTATAGTAAATAAAGAATAATTCTCAAAAGATTATTATTCCAGTAACTATATTTATGATCTTTTTATTTATTTATTTAGGTACAAACCTCTGTTTTTTTTTAAAGTCAACAGAAAATGGAAATAAACTTTTTAAAGTTTCTAATACTAGGAGAAGATATCATACAATGTCTTTTAAATAAATTGTAAGTCAAAGATATAGTATAAATCTTAGAACAAAAATTAAGATTAAGCAATATTCAGAAAATTAAATGTTTCCAAACAATTGAACTAAGAAAAAGTTTTCCTGATAGCAAAGAAGTACTAAGAGTAAAACATAAGATAAATACTGAAATGGCAAGTAAATGACCAGCACTTCTAACAGTTTGAGGATAGGATATCACACAAAGTTCTAGTGTGTTGTGGACATGCATAATGACTGTGACACTCAGTAACTATATTTATTTAGCACTTAATCATATGCAACATTCTGAGCTAAGCTTTTTCATCGCGTGGCCTCAGTGAATGTTTCCAGCCATGCTTTGCAGTGTGTGCAGCTCTATCCTGGTTTTATAGATGAAGAAACTTGCATTCAGTAAACAAGCTGCTCAAAGAACACTAAGCTGCTAAGCAGTCTTAGGACCAAGAATTGAAATCAGACAGTCTGGCTGCAAAACCTTTTATGACTGTGATAATCTGCCCCATTGTTAGTTTTTTACAAGAAAATTTTTCTGTGCATATTTTATATGAAAGCTAGAAAGCAGAAACAGAATATTGCATTTTGTAAGGTTAAAAACAATCTATGCTTGTGCAGTAAGCCCAGAGTTTGAACCAGACTCAGAAGTTTTGCAGCTGAGTGCTTCTCATGGGTTGGCCGGGGACCTTGGATGGGAGTTCATCACAGTCCATTCAAGTTTTCTTGCTGATTCCTACTTCTTAACCTTTGCAAATATGTTGATTCATAGTGTTTTACTCGTGGGTCACTGTTGGAGTCAACTGTTTTGAGAACATTGTCTAAAACAGAGATTTTCAAAGCAGCAAGACACCGCTGTGGATCCCTGCCTCCTGTGGATTTATTTCGGAGAATGTGACTGTGTATATCTTCCCTTTCTTAGTCTTGGTCCTATCACATTAAACTGCCTCATCGGTTTCCCAACACCTTCCAGTGATTTTTAAAATAATATCATTCATCACTTCTAAATAGTATTATTAGGGTTTTTTAAAGTGACATAATCTGATCTGTTATTCTCATAAAAGCAGTGTTTTGAGAAAGCAATTTAAAATTAAGTTATAGGGTTTGTAACATTGTCATTATTGACACAGACAAAATTTTGATCCCATTAGTTTTTAATACTATATATATATATATTTCAGTATTTTCCATTTTAATTTCCTGTCATTTAATTAGCAGTTATTATGCCACATTGTTTATTGACTGAACACAGTATTGTTTCTGAAAGGAAATCTTAAAAACTGCAATTAATAAACGTATACAACCATTCAAGTTTCAAAAAAAAGAAACAATCTATTCTTTATCAAATGCTCCTTTGTACCCTCATTTGTGGCATTCTCCTGCCCATGTGAAGCGCATTGGGAATAGACAGTGCTCCTACTGACATGCTCAGGACCGGGCACAAAACGACACTCTGGTGCGTGCGGCTGGAAGAACATTCTGCTGCAAACACTCTGAGGCTGCCTCTGCTTCTGCTCCGCAGAGCGCACAGCTATTATTACCAAAGCCTTCCTTTCGCTGAGCCCCTGTGTTCATCAGTATTCCGCCTGGGAGAGTTCTGGGCCAGGTCTCCTTTCAAGTCAGGTCTGCCGAGGAGCTCAAGCAAATGAATCAGAGCCTCTTCCCAGAAGCCATGCGAAGGGTTGCTTCTGACGCTGGAGACTTTCCAGTAAAGAACTGCATCGAGGGGTCAGCCCGAAATCGTCACAGGCCAACTTGGAACAAGCCACATTATTTCTTGTAATGGACTTGGACATCGACAGTTGACCCTTGACCTCTTGGTGCAGTGAGATCCACAGCAGAGTTGCCTTCTCTGCTTTTAGCTTTGCCTTGCTTTTAGGTTTGAACGGTGTTCTTGGGAGTTAGTATTCCACGGCACATACTACAAAATGGGAGGCTTGCACTATATTTTGATTTTAGATTTTCTAATTTATTCAAGACATTAAGCCAGCAATTTAAGCTCCTGGAAATGTTGTGAATTTTTCTTTTATTTATTTATTTATTTATTTATTTATTTATTTATTTATTTATTTGGTACAGGGTCTTGCTACACAGCTCAGACTCATAGTGATCTTCCTGTCTTTTCCTACCCCCAGTGCTGGGATTACAGGCGTGTGTCACCATGCACAGTTTCAGTGGCAGGCTTGGTGTAGGGCCAGCATGGCATGCTGTACTGGAGATTTAACCCAGGTCTTTGCACTTGCCAAGCAGGAGCTTAAATCACTGAGTTATCATCCTGGCCTAACGAAAATATTTTAAATATAAAAGCACATTATATCCATTGCCAACCGATGCCGTAATAGTGTCACATAGTGGATAACTTAAAACTGGGGCCGGGGAGATGGCTCAGTAGAATAAGCGCTTGCCTGGCAAGTGCAAGGGCCCTAGTTCAATCCCTGGTTCCGCAAAAAAAAAAAAAAAAAAAAGAAATCAAATGTAAGGATTGGCCAAATAGCTCAGTGGATTAAAGTGCCCGCAAGCAGGCTCAGGGGCTCGGGGTTCCATCCCCAGGCCTGCTGTGTCAGCCCCACCCCCCGAAGGTATGCTGAGATGGCGATAGAGACTGGGTGTGTGGAATGCGCCTGTAATCCCAGCTCTTGGGAGGCTGCAAACAGGTGGATCACTATGAGTCTGATCTATAGTGAGACCCTGGACACCCTGTAGGCCTTTCCCTAAAATATAAAAAAAAAAAAAAAAGAAAGAAAGAAAGAAATCAAATACTTCACACCCCTAGAAGCCCTCTACTTACCTTCTA